ATGAAGGCATGACGTCTGCCATAATAGAATACATTAAATAAACCACATTTTGATATGGATTTAAAAAACTTAAATGCATAGAAACAAGCAATGTGACCAACCCTTGCCAGCCATCCTCAACCTACCACGTAAGCGTTTCCAGTGTTCTTCTAAAAAGCCTCTGAATGTCCAGGAATACCAGAAGTGATACTGACAATTTTCAGTTATCATTGCTTTAATTTTCTGTTTATTGTAATTAACTGATAACATTTATTCCCTTTAAAAATATCGGCAGAGGAATGACAGTATTTCCTGAGGCAGAGGAAATGAGATTTCCAAGGCAAACTGCTGGCTACTTAAGATAACTAGGTTTTGTGACATTGACATACATACTGAATAACAAGAGAACAACACTGTTACGGAATTAAATGAAGTACTTCAAGTAGTCTGTGAACTCCTCTACTGCCTCACATGCAACACGAACAAAAATGAAGCACCCCTTCCCCGCCTTCCCCCCCCCCCCCCTTTTTTTTTTTTTTGTTTTATTTTAAGACTGTAAGGAGAAACACAAACCTTCTAAGCAAGAATAGCTGTGAACATAAAAGATTTGAAGTTCAGCCCCTTGCAAAGGTAACTGAGGAGCTGAATGATGAGCTTCAAGGGCTATAGCAACTGTGAAATAACTATTCTCATTGCAAACAATAACTTTGGACATGTTGGTGGAAAACAGCAGATTCAAGAGGATGAAAAATGTGATTGCAGTTCAGTAACCTGTGATTGAGGGGACCCAAAGTTTATTTACTTGCATTGCCACAGACAGCTTCTTGGGCAAGATGGCACTTGGTCAAATCAGGTAGTCCTCATTATTCCCACATTTAAAAATGAGTGCTGACAGCTCTTCCCTTCTGCCAAACAGCAACACTGGCCAGAAATCATATTCAAGTTCACCCCAAAGAACACTGTTATACAGGTGGAAGTCTGTAGCACAATCCCAGCTTGGCACTCCTTATTTTAAAACAACCTGATTTCCTACTAAAAGGGGGAGGACTATGGAGGAATGGAATTCCTCCAGTGATAACAGTTCCAGTAAAGTCATAAAATTGGGACAGGAAAATATAAAATTAACCCTTAATGGTGAAACCAGTAGAACTTCTTTTTCTGTCCTCTAGCCTATGTAAATAGAAATATGTGACTGCTGATTCCTGTAAAGGTAAAAATAAAAGCAAACCAACAGAAATCCCAACCACAAAATCTCCCACAAATTACTATAGTATGTAAAACAATGCCAGACATTGTGCAGTTATTTTCTAAGCAGGACAAATAGAAAACCAAATTATGACATCTTAACAGAACTCTACACAAAAAAAGGCAGGTAGTGATTCTACAACCCAAGACCAGAAAAAACATCTTCCCTCAGTGAATACTACCAAACTGGCCTGTACATCCTTAAGCTAACAGCATATAAATAATAACTCCAGACACTTCCGTATATTTGGTTTTTAATACTGAAAAAAAACAGTGTGGGAAGAAGAAAGCAACTGCATTGTACCTATGCAAAGCAATCTATTTTCTGTTGGTAACCTCTCCTGCATTGCTACGGCCTGCAGATATTTTTGTTAGCAGCTCCAGCAGAACAAAGCTATCTGCTCAGTTCTGCAGTCAGGTCTTACAGCCTCACAGCATCCTACTGTGATAGTATTTCTTTTTGTTTCATCAAATCAGCATTTCCATTTGAGTGAAGCATGTGAGAGAGATGTTGTCTCTTTCAAAAGACTTTAGATATAAAAGCAAAAAAGAAAATGTATGAAATATATTTGAAGGGTGCAGAGATTTTGATTTCACAATTGAAATGTTCAGAATGCCTCTGTGAGTTAAATGAATAGTGTATTTAACAGAAGCTTTAAACTGCTCTTTACTCTTCAAGGAAAGGGATCAAAAAGCACTAGAGGGAGCTGCTGTTCTACTTAACTCGTTTGGATTCCTTGTTTTCAGCATAAATTTTTAACCGCTGGAGTGAGACACGTGTAAGAACACATCTCAGCTCTCCAGTATTGAAATGACAGAACTGAACTCAAAAACAACATCAGACAGCAAGTATGCAAACCGTGAACTCTCAACCAGAACAAAATAAAAGAACACTTTAGATGTCTATAATATTTAATAAACCTTTAAAAATACTCAAAGGAGGATCATCATCTGGGTAGGCTTACAGAAATATTTTTTGCAACCCATCAATAAAAATTCTCACTGAATCCTTGCTTCTTCTGGCCAGAGGATTTCTCCAAAGGGGAAAAAAAATACATAAAAGAAAGAATAAGGGGAAAATGACAAAAATAAAGGATACCTGGAAGAAGTTGCATAGAGTCCAACTTTAACTGAGTAGTTTTATCACCAACTGTCAATGTTTCTACATTTCTGACACTGACACTGTTTTTTAACCAAAGATGTGCAGATGATGTTGAGGGACTATAAACTCACTACAATCATCAATCTTACTGAAAAATAAACAAATTCCCAGAAACTAGGTCAGGGAAAAGAAAAAGAAAAAGAAAAAAAAAAAAGGAAGTCTTGATGAAGGGTTATTATTTTATTTAATCAAAACTCACACCCCTTAGTAGTATCCAATTTAAAGCCTTTTTGACTGTTCAGAATATGATAATTCCTTCCTGCACACACTTTTTTTTTTTTTTTTATATCAAGTTCCCTGAGTATTGTATCCTGTTCAACAACTTCTTCCTCAGGCAGAAGAATACAGGCAGAACTTTCCTTCTCACAGTTTTTTTGTCATTCCTAAACACCTGGCTACAAGTACTTAAGTACAGGTACTTGATATCATGGCATAAACTGATAAATAACTGCGGTAAATTTATTAATTTTAAACATGCAGTGTGTACTGTAGCTACCCTAACAACTAGTGACCTCCTTTTTCTCAAATACAAATATCATATTTTTCTGAAATACCAACCAAACACCAAGCTCACTTTTTCTGGACAGTCTAATTCTTACATGTTTGTATCCTGCACATGCCAAACTTAGATAGCAACCACCCTGCAGCTGCAAGGGTTTTCTTGCACTTTAGAAAAGCCAATATAAGGCAAATAATATATCTATTTGTGTCACTACTTATTATTAGAAGAGAAGGGATAACAACATATCAAAAATTAATATAATTTGAAATAATTTGAAAAAAAAGAAAGAACAAAGGGTCATGTTAAAGTCTTTTCACTTTGTACAAGCTGTAGCCCTTTAAATTTGGGGATACTGCCAATGCACATTAACAGGCATTTACTGCTTTTAGAGCATGTTTGTTTCTCTGCATTATATTCTCAGTCTTGGAAAAGGAACACAAGGTGCTGGTGGAGCTGTACTCAAAGTAAAGGCTGCATCAAGACAGTTACACTGGAAACAAACACCTAACCAGTACCTAGGCCATGGTGGCTTGAGGAATGCTTTCCTGTTACATAGTGCTAGGCTACAGCCCCCATTCAGAGCTCCTAGTAGAGGAATGCTGACAAAGTCTCAGTAATAAAAGTGCAGTTTAGCTTCCACTCAAGGTTTCTGGTATGTCTGTCAAGGATCATACATCTTAACAAGCCTGACCTGCCAGCAAATCTATGGTGGCAGAAATCTATAATGGAGAAACAGCTTTCATTGGTTCACAAGAAGTTAAGTAGATTAGGTCTAATATTGACCTCTGTAAGGTTTTGGGTGTCTTTTCTGTTTGTTTGGTTTGGTTTGGTTTGGGTTTTTTATTCTGTTTTGGTGTTGTACTTTGGGTTTTTTTAGGAATTTTTTGGCATTTGTATTAATAAGATTCTGCATTACTCCTTTCCTCTGTTTCTACTCCCACAGTCTGCAGTACTCTTTCAGGATTTGGATGCCCAAACTGTACAAGAGACTAAAATAAGCAAAGCTTCACAGAGGGAGAGATTTTTAACTACTTACTTTTATGCAGGATAAATTAACTCCATCAACTCCTCTTTCTGAACACATTTTACAAGGAAGGGGGGGATTATAAAATTTATGCAATTTCATTTTTAGATGATTTAAAGTTACAACTTTTTGTTTTATTAATGTATTTCATCCAGCAGTCTATTATTATTTTATCTACAAATAAGACTAGTTTTCCCTAACAGAGAGGTTGAAGTAGATGAATCACACATTCTGACAAATAAACTACTGGCCTTTACCTACTTCAAGTAAACAGAAAAAGGAATTGTTGAATCCTTGTTTGATACCAAGATTGTAAAAGCAGCAGAAGTTTACTTAATCCACAAACAAATAGCTGTTTTGTATTTGTGCATGACAGCATTTTTACAATATGATATATAGGGAATGTAACAAATATATCAAGTCTTTCTCTACCAAAGGAAGGCTGTGTTCATTCCAGCCTAAAATAGGTTCATGCCTGACTTCTAATTTGAAATCATGTATTTCTAGAAAAAAAAATCCCAAACCTCTTAGATCTCAGCTAAACCCTTTGGTGCTTTGTATTACAAATCCCTCCATAGTCATGTATTTCTTAATCTTTTTAATTCTTCAGTAAACTCATTTGAACTACAGCTGAGTGCTCATGTCAGTGCTGAATATAATCCTTCCCACCATTCAGACAGTTGGCACATGCTTCACACAGTCCTTCATCTTTCAAATTACCCCTCTGAGACAGAAATTATCCTATCTTCTACAGAGCATCACACATATTTCAAAGTGAATGAATGCACAGTATTCACTTTTAGCATACATGACCAGTCTTTCTTTGAAATGCCAGACAATTTCTGCTGCCTTTGCTGAAGTTTGCATTTTGTACTTTCCCTCCTGTGCAGTCTCTCATGTTAGTGGACCCCATCCTTTTATCATTGCTGTATCAAAAAGCTGGGGAAGTAGCTGTTAGATGCAGCAGAGTAAATGCAAATCAGTTGTTTTCAACCATAATTATGATCAGGTAAACTGCTATAAAAATGCTAACAAAGTTCACTATTGCAAGACAGAGTGAAAATTTCCTATTCTCCTTAATTACTCACAGGAGGTCCTGGTGGCCCTGGTTTTCCTGGAAGGCCTGGTTTGCCTCTTCTTCCCTGGAATCAAAAACAGAATAAGAGACATTTATAAATGTTACAGCTAGTAACTGATTTGGAATAAACTTTGTTTAAGATTTATTGCCTTACTTATTATCAAAAAGTTCAAAAACTATCCAAAAGAATGGTCTGTATCAGTCACAGGACTGCTATTTATGTCTAGTAATTTTAGGATTGTATTAAATAATTATGATGAACAGTATATTTGCATCACTGTAACATTTACTATCACATTTTAAAACTATGCCTCAAATGTGAGTGCACATTGATAGGGCTATAAAAAAAGCATCTTGATAAGATGCAAAGAAATTGTATTTTATCTGAATATAGCAGAGCTTGGGATGTTAAACTGTGCTGCACTTGTCACCCTGACTTGCACAGTAAGTACATAAGTACAATATAACTTAATTAGTAAACACCCATACCCTTCTTCTCCAGGATGTAAGAATAAGCAGAAAACTCAGAGATTTATTTTCAAAACATTTCACCTTCCTCATGCAATTACTACCATTTGTGTATATAGTGCATATGCAACATAATTTACATTAAAGCTTAAGCTCCATAAAAGTCTGCTTAAGTTAATGTGAGACTTTCCATTTGTAGTTTATAAACCATGCACATGTAATTATTACAGTTTTTTAGTACAGAACTCTACTGAACAACTGCTGTCTTCACACATTTTTATTTTTTTATTTTTTTTATTTTTTTTTTAGGAAGACCAACATAAAAATAGAGGTAATTTACGGTTATTTACATCTTTGTTGCCAAGCTGAAATCTGATGCCCATTTTTTAGAAACAACATCTAAGAACAACAAACATCTAGGCGTGATAGTAAAGAAAAAAATATTCATAAAGACTAAACTTTTCCCTTGCACATGGCAAACATAAATTAACAAAAAGCATTAGGGAGATGTACTGGTGAAAACTCAGCTTAAGAAGTTAAAAAATTAAAATGCTTGTTGACAGCTCACAATTAACACGTGGGGGTATTTCTGCAAGCCATGTTCCCTGCTTCTAAGCCTGCTTCTGTGTTTTATTAAATGGTGATCTCACACAAACTGCAGAACTAATGTAAGGAAGAGAGAGTGACATGTCAGCTTCACTCTTTACAGGTGAGAGCCTTGATCTGTAGGAAACCACCCTCACACTCTGCCTCTTGTTAATCTTGATCTATGCTGAGGGGAAACAAGCTGATGACAGTAAGGGTGGAACATCCCTCCACTTTATACCCTGCAACTCACCAGGGTAACCTCTTGCCTAGATGCGAGGGACTCCCCTGAAAAGCAGGAGGTAGGGATCTGGAGACCTTAAAACTGAAGAAAGAACTGAACAAAGGTTGTGGGGACATGTGCCATCCACTGGGCGACACCACGTAATGTGAATGCTGCCACCATGGTTTTATGAAGGTCCTCAGTCAATTGGTGTGTTTTAAGGGCAGCAGGAAAGAAGCCACACTACCTCAGCATATTTGGAGTGCCAAATTCCTGGGTATTAACTAGCTGAGACATATGTTATGTGCTGAGCTGCTTAATCCTGCCAGTACTTGCACGTGCAGAGCCTTAACTGGGGCATCTCAGGGTGAATTTTCAGAACCAAAATATGGTACTAGGTACCTATACTGGACTCAAGGGTACCCTGCCTCTCATCACCCACCCCCAGCATGTCATGGTTTCACTGACCAGGCAGCCCTGTGATGACCCAGAGCTGGGAACTGATGAAGGCTGAGGATAGCCCACAAAAAAAGTGGAGCTGTTTCTGACTTTCTTCAGTTCATTTTTTTCAGTTCACTGGGCAACAGAGTAGCTTGCCTGGCCTGACAGAAGGCACAGTCCTGGGAAAGGCACACATGCACAAGAAAAAAGAGGCTGTTGTTAGCTAGAACTAGAGTTTTGGACTGGTTTCTTCTTCAGTAATACACATGGAAACTAACATTTCCTGACTTCTATAAAAAGAAGTAAACTTTCCTTTGAAAGTATGAAAAACAAATTGAGAGGTAATGGTGCAAGTAATAAACAAACATAAATTGCTTCATACTTTTAAAATAGTCCCTCTGCATTATAATGATCTATATCCTTGACTTCTTGAAGCACCTTCCTTTTCCTGTTTGGACTTATTTAAAGTATCCTGAGGCTGACACTTAAAATCACAGCAGTCTAAACAAAGTATCAAGGAAGTGTCAGGGAGAAGAAGGCAAGGCTTTGACTGGCAGACACAACTGTGAACAAGGTGTTAATTACACAGGAAAACATGGAATATGTTGGGAAGGCAATTTCATCTCTATTTACAAGATGACGTAAAATGTGATTTATGACATATCACAAAGTTAAAACCTGACAAACTTTCAGAATATTAAGGAAAAAAAAAAAAAAAAAAAAAAAAGAGAGGAAAAAAAGGAAAATTGGGAGTATTTTTTCACTGTTATTTAGTAATTACCTGAACAGCTATCCAGTGAAACATAGAATAAACAACTGCCCTACCTTTTATCCAATCATTATATTATTAGATAGTATATTATGTGCCATGTGTACAAAAACCTGTAGAACAACCACACAAACCAGTAAGAAGCATCACCTTTTTCTAGAGGACTTTTTTATTATTTTTTTTTTTCCTACAAGAACCCTTCCAAACTGTCTGAAATTATAATTTTAACAGAAAGAAGTATGAGGTGACCACCTTTCAGTAGTGTCTTTTAGGTACAGAGATTAAAATGTTAAGAACAAACACAACTTCACCTACTCATCAGGACTCCTGCTTCTCTATGACTTCCCAGCATCAGTATGGAAAAAATAAAATAAATATATAGTATAATACCTGTGTAAGTAAAGTAGTTTATGTTTTTATTTAAGATAATTAAAACAATTAGAAGAATGTTTTTGATAAGCTACTAGGGCCTTGCCTTGAGCAGACCATGAGCCAGACTGTGACTAAATATTTACAGTTAGATTCTGAGTCTTCCTTCTGGCAGAAAAGAAGAAGTGAAAACCATCTCCGTGGCCTCTCTGGTTTGTAGAGTGGGTTTAGCAGAGAGTCACAGTTCCCATCTCCTGCTCAGAAATGCATCTTGGCAACCCTGTGGGAGCTGTACTCTCTGCCATACCACTGGGCATGGGGCAGGCAGCCAGCACAGGAGGCATATTACCTTTATTTAGTTGAGTTCAATGAGCAAATGTTGAGGTTATAAAACCATTCAAAATATAAATACATGTTCCAGGCACCACATACTTCCTTTACCTAAATAAAAAATGCAATATCACTTACACTAACTTAAAAAAGACAAGTGGTGTCAACTAATTGTCTACTGCTGCTTCGATTAACACCTAAAGAAAACAAATTACCAAAACAGTTACTGGTTATTTCTATTGTGCTGCATGTATTTTTGTTGGCAATTGAGGTGGTAAGTTGTCTAAGTGTTATGATACTGTATCCTGTTCTCTTGACTCACCAAATGTCTGTGCTTGCCCTCAACCGTTTTGGACAGTTGGCTACTTCCCTCTTTCCATCAGACAAGTTTCAGCTACAATACACACAAATAATTCACATAACTGCTCAGTGAGGGATAATAAAGATAAAATATTAAAAAAAAAAAAAAAAAAAAAAAGGAAAGAAGAAATTCTATGCTTCAGCAAACAGCAGCTGGGTGTCAAGCTGAAATATGTGGTCAACTGCGCAATTTACTCCTCTCTTCCTTCACTCTTTCTGATACTCAAAATGACATGATGAGCTTTGCCTTAGAGTAGACAGAAAGCTGTGCAGAAGAGAGGCTCTGTGCAACCTTCCATAAGCTTGTGCTCTGATTCATACTGGTGCCCCTGGGCACTGCTGCAGGTCCAACACACAGTGCAAGAATTAAAAATCTATTATCATGTTGCATCCATTTATTTGCATGTCTCCAACAACTGAAGAGTAACATCACCAATATTAATGTCTAAAAGTAATCTATGGATTGTTTTAGGATAAAATCAAGCAGAGCTATGTAGGAATGCTGACATGATTTATGAAATTTATAATTTAAAGAACCCATACTTGATAATGAAGGGAAAAGCTCTTAGAATGTGCCATGTGAATTTTCAAGGGAAGCTGCTAATCAGGGGTTCCTCAAACACCTCATCACACTTCAAAACAGGAACTAGTTCTAGAGGAAGTAGGAAGCTGGGCTTTCAAGTTTTAACTACTGCACTTGTCATGCAAGATTAATGAAGCTTATGTAACTCATCTGCCAAGCTAAACTAAGATTCTCTTGAATAGTCCTTAAAACCAGACTGACAAAGGAATAGATACACCTGGAGCAGGAGGTAAGTGGGAAGCAAAGACCCTTGTGTTAGAGCAGAGACACCCTGCCAGCCCTTTGGGCACCTAAACACAGCCATGTGAGTGGAACTCTGGGCAGTTAATAGACTTTTTCTCCAGGCACCCAAAGTTGTGATTCAGCAGTGAGACAAGCCCCAGTCCCTATGCTAATTCAGAGCAGAGCAAAGAGGCTTTCCTTGGTTTCAGTCCTCTAAGCTGATATGCTGAGTCCATAGAAATTTGACAGTTTCCCCTCTCTGTCTCTAGCCACAACCTGGTGCTCCTGGCTGCTCACTTGGAGCTTGCAGAGCTCTAACCAACTCTAGCCAAGGGGAAACCTAGCCCAAAACTGGTGGAAGTCCTCTGTTCCATGGTATATCAGAAAAAGCTTCCCATACTGTCATTTAGGGGAATGAAGGCAGACATGTGATAGTATCATGATAGTATGATAGTATCAGTAAGGAAGCCACTTCAAAAGCTAATTGGAAACAGAAGATTAGGATTAATCACAACAGTCAGAGCAATCACCCATCAAACCCAGTTACTGATCAGTTGTGGGACAGGAGAAACTTCTCCAGGATCCCAATCCACTATTTGATAGTTCACAAAGTGAAAATTAGAAATCTACAACAAATACACAGTCAAATGCAGTAATTATTTTTCCATTGTGCATTCAAAAAATTTGGGAATATTCAGAGAGGGTTCTGACATT